CCGGGCCGGTGAGTTGGGAACTAGGTGGGGGCTGGACATGGGAAGTCCGGGTGGCCCCGAATGGGGAGGGGGCGGCGGCTGGGGATGAGGGGGGCGCACGGACGGCGCCTTCGGTCCTGGCGTGGACAGACCGGGGTGACCGGGCCCTGGGGTCTTGGATTCCAGGACAGTGCGGGTCCTCACGGGGAGGGGGCACACTGCACGGGAGGGGCGATCGGTGGAACTGGGCCCTGCACGGAACCTGGCGCTAGGAGCTAGTCCCAGAGGCCGCGAAGACAGTCGCTGGGAGGCAGAATCTCGGGCTGCCGGCTGATCATGCTCTTCTGCTTCTGCTTCTACTTCTTCTTCCCTGGCCACTGAGAGCTGCCCAGACAGACCTAGCAGTTGGGGGAGAACGAGGTTTGCTTTCAGAAGGTCCTTAGGTTTCCTTTCCCAGAAGCCTGGGGCTTCAAAGTGCTGCTCTGCCTCGGAGACAGGAAGCGCTCGGGTTTCTCTTTCTTCCGGAAATCTGTGATGGGATCTGCCTAGTGGGCCTCTGTCCAGAAACCTATCGAACGAGATTCTGTTTCTGCTTACCAGAGTATGCAGACGGGGCAGCCGTCTGAACATCTTGGGACTGTGGAGCCTCCTAAAGGGCAAGGAGGAGCTTGAGGGGGGATCTACCTGGAAAGCTAAGAGAAAAAGTGATGTGGAATGGAGATTTTGGAGGGAAATACTGTGTGTCCTACGATCTCTCCTGGTCCGGAGAATGCTCAGTAGAATACCCCTTTTTCTGGAATGCCTGGAGTTAGATCCATTTGGGTGTGTGTCTGAGTACTCAGCCCTGGCCCAGGGTGGACTCTAGACAGACTTTCAAAGGAAGCCAGGCCACCTGTAGGTATGCACACAGCCTGCCACCCCACATGCCTGTCCCTGTCCCCACAGCTGCCTGCCAGTTCTAATCTGGCCCTTTTCTCCTTTGAGGGCTCCTCAGACCAACTGCCTGGTTCTGACCAACCCGGGCAACTGGAACCCTGAGCCTTCCGTCCATGCCGCCCTGCTGAGCTCCCTACAGGGGAGGACTTCTCTCTTCTCTCCTAGTCACCCACGTCCTTTGTGCCTGCTCTGTTGGTTACAATCTCCGTCCTTCCCCTTCCCCCACCACCTCCTGTCTATCCTTCAAAAATACACAAATGAGGACCTTAGCTACCACCTGGACCTCCAGGAGGGGTATTTCTCAGGAGCAATTTCAGTAACAGTTAAGTCCTCTGCTAGGCCTCTGAGGGGGAAATGAGAAGAGAAAAATGACATGATCGTTAGGATAGAAGCAGGGCTTCTGGGTTTTGCATTAACTTGACCTTACTGGACCCGTTCCGTTCCAGTCTATGACCTGTTTCCGATCCTAGAAGTGATACTCGAGCATTGGCCCACTTTGTCCCTGGATCTGGAGCTCACAGTAACCTCTACTTGTTCCTCTGGGTTTGGTGGGACACTCTATCTTTTGTTTTTGGGACCTGCAGGTCGGCAGCCTGTGCTCAGAGTCAACGCTCTCCACACGGAAAGTAATGCCTCTCTTCCATTTGCACAAAATGAGTTTGCCGTGGCTAGGCGGACGAGGAGCCCACACTCAGGCAGAGGCCAGGTGGGTGCAGGTGGGGGCAGCCCATCACGGGGGTTAACCCTGACAGCAGCTGCCCTGAGAAGACAGCTGGGGAAAGATCCGTATCCTCTATATGGGAGGGAAGGGCTCGCCTCTCCTAGAAAACAGTCATGAAGCTCGAACAATACGGAAGCAGGGCGCACTTTGGGCCCCGAGAGCGACCATGGTGGGGGGCAGATCAGTGCCTGAGCAGCCAAACACCATCGATTATCTGCTGTAATGAAGACCAGCCTGTGGTGTCTAGGGAGATCATCCACTGGAGTTAGTTCTGGCCTTCACTCCTCCCGGAGGCATGTCCCCACTGGTCAGGGATAAATGTGACTAAAAAAAGATGAAGCGTTTAATAATTTAAAAGGGGCAGACTGGGGGTTTCCTGCGGGAGCACCCTCATGGCTCAAAGTCTGCCTGTCCACTGCCGCCTTGTCAGCTCTTTCATCTCCTTTTTGTCTTCTCTTTGTCTGCAGCCTACTGCTCTGATGCCGGAGGGGAGGCAGAAAGTGGCACACGTGGATGCCCCCCTGGGCCTGCCCGCCCGTCTCTGGCTGCAATTAGCCGGGCTCTTCCTACTGGTTCCCTGGGTCATGGGCCTGGCAGGGACAGGTGGGCCTGACGCCCAGGGCCCAGGGGGGCTAAGCTGGGCTGTGCATCTAGACAGCCCAGAAGGCAAGGGGGAGGAAGAGACTCTGGAACAGCGGGCCGATGCCTTGGCCCAGGCAGCAGGGCTGGTGAATGCCGGCCGCATCGGAGAGCTCCGGGGGCACTACCTCTTTGTCCAACCAGCTGGGCACGGGCGGGCCCTGGAGGTGGACGCCCTCCGGCAGCAGGCGGAGGAGGTGTTAGCCAGACATGAAGCTGTGCGCTGGCACTCGGAGCAGAGGCTGCTGAAGCGGGCCAAGCGCAGCGTCCACTTCAATGACCCCAAGTACCCGCAGCAGTGGCACCTGGTGAGTCCCGCCCCACGTTTGTTTCAGAGGGATCAGTGCTGGTCCAGTTCTTGGAACTTTTGACTCTCTCACTTTTTTGTGACCGCCACCTTTTGCCCAAGAGAATCTCTCTGTGTTGTTTTGCCTCTGGCTTTCCCCCCCCCCCCCCGTGTTGTCTTCCAGAAAGCTGGAGTGCTGCCGTGTTTGCGTGGGGGGTGCTGCAGCCAGGTAGCTTCATTCCAGCTCTTCGGGCATGTGTCCCTGGGCAGGCTGCTTAACTGCTCCAGCCTCAGTTTCCCCATCTGTAAAATGAAGGTCATAATAGTGCCTACCTCACAGAGTTATGGTTGGGGTGAGTGAATTAAAGTGTGTGAAGCGCTCAGAACAGTGTCCGATGTGTGGCAAACACCATCCCCTAAGCGGTAATGATTGGCATTGTTGCATAATAAGTACGTTTTCCAACCCTTCCTCCTAATCCATGTCACCCTGAGCCGCCCAGGAACGATGCCCAACTTCCCTGGAGACTGAGGCTGTGGCAAAGCTCTCTTGTCCTTCCCTGACTCGGTTCACACCTAGAACCTCCGTCTGATTCTTGGTGGAGGCCAAGGTGAAAGGGGCTGCTTAGCCCTGACTGCACCTGCCTGCGTGTTGCTGGATTCCCACCATGTCTCTTCTGCAGAATAACCGGCGGAACCCCGGTAGGGACATCAATGTGACCGGCGTGTGGGAGCGCAACGTGACGGGCCGAGGGGTGACAGTGGTGGTAGTGGACGACGGAGTGGAACACACCATCCAGGACATCGCCCCCAACTATGTGAGTGGCCCTAGAGCGACCCCTCCCACCTCTGGGTCTTCACCTCCTCGATTTCGCCTCAGTCTATCTTGTCCCCTTTTACGAGGTCATTGTACCAGACAAAGGGCCTGGGAGGCCAATGGTTTTCCTGTCTCTTCTCTTCCGCATACCAGACTGGCAGTCCAGGCACAGAAGGTGGCGCTAGTCCCAAGGGAGAGCAATCACAGGAGGGCCAGAGGGATAAGGAGGGGCTCTCTCGAAGGTTCTGAGTACCTGCCTCTCCTGGCAGGCCTTTGGGTAGCCCTGCATCACTTTAATCCCAGGGCTTCCCAGCCACCGAGCAGGGGCACATTCCCCCATAGGTAGGAGAGGCTTGCTGCCAGCGGCACCTTTCCCTATTGCCTGAGTGTCCTGTGGCCCAGTCGGCTTGCAGAAAAAGGCAGCCAGGAGTTCCACCTGTGCTGCGCCGTCTCCTCTTAGCTCCAGGACCTGACCCTTTAGCCAGTAACTGACCGCATCTCACCCCTTCCACATTTCAGAGCCCTGAAGGTAGCTATGACCTCAACTCTAACGACCCTGACCCCATGCCCCACCCGGACGTGGAGAACGGCAACCACCACGGCACGCGGTGCGCAGGAGAGATCGCCGCGGTGCCCAATAACAGCTTCTGTGCAGTGGGCGTGGCCTACGGGAGCCGCATAGCCGGTAACGGAGCTTCGGTCCAGCCTGGGTTGGCCTCTCTCGGCCGGTCTGCTTTCCCTGCACCAACCCCCACACACACACTCTGACCTGTCTCTGTCTCCCCGCTTGACACAGAGCCTAGGGCTCATAACAGGCATCTGTAGGCCAAGTCAGTTGGTTTATTTTTCAGTTCTGTGTGGCTCCAAGCATGTTTTTAGCCGCAAACCCTACTATGTAAAGCAGATAAAAGTGGAAATATGCTTTATGTGGCTGGAGACCCCCCCATGCACCTGCTCCGTCTCCTCTTTTTCTGACCATGGCTATGTCCCATCAGTGACCCAGCACATTGCAATAACTCATTACTGGACTAGTTATACACATATTTTCATGATTTTTTCTATTTCTTCTTAAAGAACTATTTTATTGGGAACCAGCAGTTAGCGTAATGGCTATGTTGCTGGATTCCCACATAGTCGACCGCCGTTCGCGTCCCGGGCCCGGGGGCTTTGAAAGTTCCTGCTGCCAAATCTATAAACCTAGCTTCATCTCTACCTGTTCAGGATAATCTTCTACCACATTCTGGATCCTCTTCTATTTGGAATAAGGACTTTGTCCTATAAGGACTTTGTTCTATCCATTATCACCTCCCTCTCATCACACTTTAAAAACACTAAAGTGCTGGGAACCAGCAGTTAGCGTAATGGCTATGTCGCTGGACTCCCACATAGTCGACCGCCGTTCGCGTCCTGGACCCGGTGGCTTAGAACTCACGCCGGTCGCGTGTGCATGCGTGGTTTCTCGCTTTCTGTCTCTCTGTCTCTCTCTGTCTGTCTGATGAGCACACGCACCCTATAGCAAAAACCTCTAAAAAAAAAAAAGAACTATTTTATTTAACTTTATTTATTTTAATTTGACCAGAGAGGTACAGAGTGACAGAGAGAAAGAGAGAGAAAGTGAGAAAGGAAGCCACCAGGTCTGGGACTCGAACCGTGGTTAGCCATGTGGGAGTCCAATGCCCTTAAATCACCACACCACCTGCTGCCCCCCACGTATTTTCATTATTTACAAAGCACCTCGCGTTGGTTCTTCCACCATGACCTCATGCAACTACAGGGACTGCTCTTGCATGTCACGGTTCTCCAGCTCCAGGCCTACTGACAGTCCCATCTGCTCTCTGTTTTTGTAGGGAGCTTAGCACTGTCTGCCATTGGAAGTGGTTCTGTGAGTCTTTCACCTCTCAGTCTGTCCACCACAAAGCATGCAGGGAGTGAATGGGGAAGCCCTCCCCACAATTCCTAATGGGTGCTTGGGAACCAACAGACTGGGGAGGCTGCCTGTTTTCCTCTTACACTCCAGCAGAGGGCAGCAGCCCCCCATGGGCGAGGCTATAAAGGAAGCCACACCGTGCAGGGACCAAGTTCCTCCTTTTGAAACTTGAGGTCCCCAGGGTGTGACCCACTGCATTTTAGAGGGTGCAGTTAGTACCCAGGAGGGTGGTGATGGCGCTGAGAACTACATGATGGACGCCTGTGTGCTGAGCCCTGGCTAGGTGTTTCACATGATGAAGAGGAAGAATGAGAAGGGACTTCGCTCACCTACATTCAGTTATGTGGCCCCGCCCCACAGATCCCGTCATTGTGTTTTGTTTTTTGATTTTACAACACAGTGAGAAGGAAACTGAGAAATTGCCCTCCAGAGAGGATGGCCACTCCTCCATCCCTTCTCCTCCATTCTCCTCCTGGGATTTTGGGCACACACATACCCCAAGTATGACTTTCTCCTTTTTTTTTTTTTTTTTTAAGAAAGAAAGTATGATTTTCTCCTTTTTTTTTTTTTTTTTAAGAAAGATTTTTATTTTTATTCTTTTTTAAACTACTTCTGCTTTTTTTTTTTCTTTTTTTGAGAGAGAGAGAATTTTGCTATTGGGCATGATTTTTAAGCCGGAGACAGGGATAGAGAGACAGAAAGCGAGAAATCACCACCCCAGGGGGAATGGCTACACCACAATACCTTATCCATTCTCCTGTCAAGATTTCGGGCACATATGCACACACACCTGGTGTGAGTTTCGAGTTGCCAGATCAAGGACTCAAACTGTAGTCGACCCTGTGGGAGTCCAGCAATGCAGTCATCAAGCTATCTACTGGTCCCTTAAAGATTTTTGGTGTAGGACATGTGCAATCACCAGAGAGACAGAGAGATACAGAGAGACATAAAGCAAGAAATCACCCCCTGGGGGGATGGCCATGACACAGTCCCTTCTCCATTCTCCTCTCAGGATTTTGGGTACATGTGCACAAATGCCCAACATGAGTTTCAAGCCACCCGGTCTAGGACTTGAACCGCATTCGATCATATGGGAGTCCAGTGACCTAACCATTACACTGCTGGTTCCTCAGTGTGATTTTCAAGCCACCAGGTCCAGGACTCGAACCGTGGTTGGGCATGTGGGAGTCCAGCACCTTAACCATCATGCCACCTGCTGGCACTGACCCTGTGATTGTTTAAGTCTAAATTCCAGCATGACATTAAAGATTTGGGGACAGGAAATACATGTCTGTAGTACAAAAATTCAAAATGTATAAGGGGCTAGCCCCACAGGGGCAGGGGTTAAGGGCTGTTCAGTGGGAGCCAGATCCCCCAAGGCCAGCCGCGGTTCAGATCTCAGCCCTAGGCAGCTTGGAGAATGTAGACCTGTGCGCATGTACACCCAGACTCCTGGCAGGCTGGAGAGATACAGAAGGAATTGAGGTGTGCCCACACCCATGGGCGTGCTTTCTTTAACAAGCCTGCTCTCTCTCTTTCTGGCAAGTGCACATACCCTCTGGCAATTAAAAAAAAAAAACCTTGAAAAATTCAAAAACCCAGGGCCAGCAGGTGATGTGGTTAAGGCACTGGCTTCCTACATGACCAACTACAGTTCGAGTCCCAGACCTGATAGCTTGCTTTCTCACTTTTTGTCTCTCTCTGGTGAGAGCATGTGCCCTATAGCAAATTATAAGATAGTAATAATATATAAATAAAATTAGATAAATCTTTTAAAAAAATTCAAAACCTACAAAAGAGCATGCAGGGGAATCAAGCCTCCCATGTGACTCCCCAGGCCCAGGCAGGGGACCAGCACCGTTACCACTTCCTCATGGGGCCAGCCCTGTGATGAGCTGCGGGGCCTTCTGTGCTAGGTATCCGGGTGCTGGACGGACCTCTCACCGACAGCATGGAGGCTGTGGCGTTCAACAAGCACTACCAGATCAATGACATCTACAGCTGCAGGTACGTCAGCCGTGGGCGAGGGTGGGAGTGAGCAGCTCGGACCCGCCCTCCAGCCAGAGACCAGCTTGGGGGCCCACTCAGGCAGGTCCAGGCAGGGTCTCCTCGTTGGGGTCAGCTCACAAGCCCACTGCGCTCATTTCTCCAGATCCCCAGCCACTGGGTGGTTCTCAATCTCAGGTCCCCATTTTCCCAGTCACTGAGTTGTCACGTGAGGAGCTGCATCTTCTGCCACATTTCTTTGCTTTCTTAACTCATGAGGCCTCTGGGGGAACGTGGACTTTGCTCTTCAGCCACAGGTAGCTGGATGCCCAGCACCACTCCCCACTGCCCTGTGTAAATGAGCCCACAGCTCAGGTTGGGCATGGATGATCTAGATAAGAAGGAGCCAGGAGGGACGACCCCAACCTGCTCCTGCCCCTAAGCAGCACCTTCGTTAAATCTACACCATCCCCACAAGCTGTTTCCTCTTAGAAAAGGAGCAGAGAACTCAGCCCGAGAGCCGGGAGCTGACACGGGAGCACCCTTTCACGGGCACCCTGCCACTGAGCCTGACAGTAGGTCCCTAGGTCCGGAGAGGGACTCCTGCTGCTGTTTCATGTACTGTTTCCTGGGAAGGGAGTTTTAGGGGCAGGATAAAGTAGCCCCAAACTGGGGGCAGTTCCAAGAAAAAGAACCTTCTGCTTCGGTGGAGGGCCGGGCCTCGGAACCCTGTGGTTTTCCATTGTGGGCATCCTGGTCTAGAATCCTCAGGAGGAGAATAGGAACGCAGGCAGGGTGTGGCCTGCTGAGACTGGGAGGCCCTGGGTGGGCAGCCGCGGCCACCCTCTGGGTGTTTCTCAACAGCTGGGGACCAGATGACGATGGGAAGACAGTGGATGGCCCACATCAGCTCGGAAAGGTAACTGAGCTACACGAAGGTTCTAGGAGACCTAAGACACCCTCTCCCGTCAGTCCTAGAAGAACAAGTAAAAGCTGATCCCTCTTCCCGGCCCAACCCGTTCGCAGTGCCAGACCTCTGCCATCTGCCCTGCTGTGACTGCAGGAAGAGGACACCCAGCCTGGGGACAGGAAGGGCGACAGACGCCAGCTCTTACAGAGCAGAGCACGGCGGTGCTCTGAGATTGTGTTCCTGCTGTCGCTTTCTGGGCTCCCTTCCTGGCCTCCCACCACCCCCTGTGAAGCGAGAGCCTCATCAAACCTTGTCCGACCAACAGCTCCTTGCCCATCTGGTGTCCGTCTCTAAATCTCTTTCCCCCGGGCCCAGCGCCCTTTGAGCTTTTTTCTTGTCTTTTTGGAAGGAGAAGAGAGAGACAGGTGTGGTATGAAGGTCCTAACTGATGGCCTGCCGCTTTTGCTTCTCAGGCTGCCTTGCAACACGGGGTGATCGCTGGCCGCCAGGGCTTTGGGAGCATCTTCGTGGTGGCCAGTGGCAATGGTGGTCAGCACAACGACAATTGCAACTACGATGGCTACGCCAACTCCATCTACACGGTCACCATAGGTGGGCGCCTGATGGGTGTGTGTGGGGCTCAGTGGTGAGGGGATTGGTACCCTCGTGCACCCCAGCTTCGGGGCGCCTGTCTAACCCTGAGAGTACAGGCATCTCTGGGCTCAGACAGGGCTAGCCCAGCTCTGAGAGCGTCTCAGGACTTCTTAGATGTCACCATGCCTGGGAGCAATTTCACGCATCACTGGAGATCGGCCGCTATCTCTACCCTCACCATAGCTGCCTGGCCCCCCCTTTCTTGGTCCACTCACCTCCTGCTTAAAGCCTCCCTGGTTCTCCAGTAGCCTGAAGTACGGGCCCTCTACCTGTGCTCCCAATCGTCCTATTGGCTACCCTAGCGATTGGTTGGTTGGTTGGTTCATTTATTTTTTAAAAACAAGCTCTGGCAAGCTTTAGTAAAGAAAAACGTTGCATGATTAACCTTCCACCGGTCTGTTCGGGCATACTTCTAATGATCTCGGAATCACCTGGATCAGTGATAGCCGGTGTGCATACTCTGTCATATTTTCCGCATGCTGTGCCCAGTTCAATATGATTTCCACCGTAGTGATGGGCACCAGTTTTGTCCAGCAAGGCATAGTGCTCTATTTCAGATTTCCTCAAAGCCAGACAGTTGTTGGCGAGGATGACCAACTTGGCTTTGCCTTGTCTGACCGTCTTCAGAGTCTGCTTGTCCCCCAGGGCGTACTTCCCACTTTTCATAACAAGTTGGAGCTGAGAGTTGATGGACTTCAGTGACTTTTTCATCTTCTTTGTGGCCACCATCTTCCTGCCTTGGGTGTCGGATGGCCCCCAACCAAAAGCACCCACCAAGATGGCTGGGAAAGGCTATTTTAAATTTTACTTATTTATTTTTTGGAGAGGTTTTTCTTTTTTTCTTGCTATAGGGCACGCGCACTTGCCGGAAAGACAGAGACAGAGAGACAGAAAGCCAGAAATCACCCCACTGGGCGGATGGCCATGCTGCAATCCATTCTCCTCTCAGGATCTTGGGCACACACATACATGTGCTCAGCGTGAGTTTAAGCCACCGGGTCCAGGACTCGAACTGCGGTTGACTACGTGGAAGTCCAGTGACATAGCCATTACACTAACTGCTGGTCCCCCAACGGTTTGTTTATTTAGCCAATTTCCTGCATGACCGTTGGCTCCTCGAGACCTGGGCTGGCCTTTTCCCCATGGCCCTGGTGCCCCGCACAGAGTGTGGAGCCCAGTGGTGACTCAGTGAATGCTGAAACGTGTGGATGAATGAGTAGAAGTGGAGCAGAAGGCCCTGCTTTATCCTGGAGCCTACCAAAGGCGCGCTGCTGGGCTCAGGGTGCCCTTTGCCACTCAAGCCCACCTGCCCAGCTAAGGGCTGGAGGCACTCGAAGGATGTGGACCGCTCACGTCATTTTTAAACTCTAGTCAGTCCCCTGGGTGAGAACTCAGAGGCCCCTATTACAGGACAGATCCCTCCCATCAGCATCTGTTTCTCACCCTCTGTCCCCAGGTGCTGTGGACGAGGAGGGACGGATGCCCTTCTACGCAGAGGAGTGTGCCTCCATGCTGGCGGTCACCTTCAGCGGTGGGGACAAGATGCTCCGGAGCATCGTGAGTGCCTCCTGGGCCCTTTGTGCCCTCCCTGGCCCCACAGGTCCCTACCTCCCTGCCCTGACCCTCAGGCTTGTCCTTCCCAGCAGATCTGTGGCTCTTTGGGACATTGCTTTTGGAAGAATGGACCTGAGGGCTCGAGTAAATCTGCAAAAATGTTTTTTTAACCCTGAGTTAAATAATAACTTATGACAAATGCACTTATTGTTATAGAAACTAAGTGTCATACAGCTTCTTTGAAATGTCTCCCTTTGGGGCCAAGAGTTGGCATGGTGGCTAAGGTGCTGGACTCTGACATGGCTTGCCTGGGTTCCCGTCCCAGACCCTACAGCTTAAAAATCACAGCAGGCACATGTGCGTACATGCCCAAAATCCCAGGAGGAGAAGGGATTGCAGTATGGCCCTCCTCCCAGGGGAGTGATTTCTCACTTTCCCTCTCTCAGTCTCTCTTTTTCTCTCTCTAGTGAACACATGCACCCTATGGTAAAAACCTAAAAAAAAAAAAAAAAAAAAAAAGAAAAGAAATGTCTCCCTTTGGTAGAATGTGGGCTTTCGCTCATTTCTGTGGGCTTAAAAATAACTCTGCATTCCGGTGCCGATCAGCCCTTGCGTACATACTGTGCGTTCTGGCATGTTCTGCGCAGGGGTACGGTGAGTGGTTTTGTCTGTGTGGGATGGTTGGGAAAGGAGCCAGCGATGTCTCAGGTCAAAATCTTTCCCTGGTGCAATCGAGGCCATAGCAAAGGGGGTTGCAGCATGGCCGCGGAGCTGCCCTAGCCCCGGGAACCCATTAGAAGAATTCAGGGGTTGGGACTGGCCGGTGGTTTAACAGTTACGTCGCTGGACTCCCACATAGTCAACTGTGGTTCGAGTCTTGGACCCCATGGTTTAAAACTCATGCTGGGCGTGTGTGCGTGCATGGCCAAGATCCTAAGAGGAGAGTGGAGAAGGGATTGCAGCATGGCCGTCACCCCTAGGGGGTGATTTCTTTCTTTCTGTCTCTGTCTCTCTCTCTGGTGAGCATATGTAGCCTATAGCAAAAATCTCTCTTAAGAAAAAGAAAAGAATTTGGGACCAGCAGGTGGCATGGTGGTTAAGGCACTGGACACTCCCACATGGCTGACCAATGGTTCAAGTCCCAGACCTGGTGGCTTGCTTTCTCACTTCTTCTTTCTCTCTCTCTCTCTTTCTCTCTCTGTGCATGTCCCTCTCTAGTCAAATTAAAATAAATGAATGAATCAGTAAAATGAAATAAATCTTTAAAAAAGAATCCAGGGACTGGGGCTAGCAGGTAGCATGGTGATAAGGGCACTGGATTCCCACAAGGCCAATTGCAGTTCGAGTCCCAGGCCCAGTAGCTTAAAATTCATGCCAGGCGTGTGTGTGTGTGTGTGTGCGTGTGTGCGTGCACCCAAAATCCCAAGAGGAGAATGGAGGAGAAAGGACTGATGCATGGCCGCCATCCCCCCACCCCCCCGGGGTTGATTTCCTACTTTTCCTCTATCCTTCACTCTCCAGTGAACACACACACCCTGGCGAATATCTAAAATGAAATAAAGAAGAGTTCAGGGACCGTTGCCTCCACCCGGCTGGGCTCAGCTCCTCCTGGCAGGTTTAAGCCTGGTCTCCGGCCGCCATCCCCGGGCTCCCGCCTGTGCCTGTTGCCCATGCGCATGTACCCTGGGCGCTGGAGGCTCCAGGCAGGAGCTGGGCTGGAGCCAGGGGCTGTCTGATTCCTCCAGTGGCTGGACTGGGAGGTCTCTCTGGGACCCCTGGGAATTGGGCTGTTTTGTCTTTCTACTGGCTCCCATTTATTTTCCAAGGCTGAAATGTTGTCCTGCCAGTAAATGACTCCTGGTCAACACAGCGTTCCAAGGCTCTGTGCCAATTGACCCCGACCCCCTCCTCTCATCCATGGAGAAGAGAAAAGGCCTAAAGCAAAGAGGCCAGAGAGGTTTCTCCCCGCAGGCAGGCTGGGGGCTGCAAGGAAGAAGAGCAGGAACCTCTTCACCCTGCGGAGGGGACACAGTTTCCCCCGCCCAGCTGGGCCCCAGAATGTCCCGCCAGCAATCACTCTTGCTCTGGACTCAGCTTCTCACAACACCCCCCCCATCTATCCAAACTATAATTTGTTCAGGAACAAAAAGAGAGTTTGTTTAATCAATTTCCCATCTTGGGAATGTCCCTGCCTTGGAACCTCCTGCAGCCTCCTTTCAGTCCCGCCTCCCGGACCCCAGGGCAGCAGGAAGAGCTTCGGCTGAGGTCAGGGCCTGGGGCACATGCCTCCCGCCACCCCTCTCCCCTGGATTCTCCTGCTAGCCCGCTGGGCCAGTTCACAGGCTTCCCACTGCACACAGCCTGTCCCGGGAGGCTGTTTCCTTAACAGGGCAAAACCATTCTGCTCCCTGGCACAGTGCGGGCTTCTCACTCTCGAGGCTATAGCTTGGAGAGTGTCCCTTTTTTCCTGGGCATGCACAGTGTCCGGGTGAGAATCGCACCCCTTGGCAGCTGCTATAACAGTGGGAGGGACGTGGCACATACCAAGGAGAAAGGCAGCTTTCGGCAGGAATTGGCGCTGGGGTGCCTGGCCTGGAGGAGATGACGGGAGGAAGGCCTTCTCTGCCAGTAGCCCTGGCACTGTGTGCCGAGGGTCCACACGTCACTCAGTGGAATAGATAGGGGCTCTAGCTAAGCCCCGCGAGGCTGCGGGGTTGACGAGGGCAAGAGCAGGCCGGGATGCCACACGGGTGCCACCTCATCCCACCTGAGAGCCACAGATAGAAGGGGGCTCCTGGGCCTGGGGCAGTAAGGCCACTCACCCCGGAGCTGGCTGCAGAGTAGGCAGTCAGGCTGTGCAGATACTGAGCCCGTGCTGAGCCCGGAATGGGCAGGGACCCAGTTCCCTCTCCCTGGGAACACCCCCATGTTCACACCCGTGTCACTCCACCCCTGTCACTGAGTTGCCAAGTCAAATTTCCTTGGATGGTGCCGTCACTGCTGTCCTGGCTCCAGCTAGAGCCCAGTAGCTGCCCGACCACTTCCTGTCTGGCTGGGATGTTGGGGGTTGGAGAGTTGAGAGTGGGGTGTTGGGCAGAGAATTGGGAATGGAAGCAAGAACATCAGAAGAGCAAAATTCGAGAAGCCCTTGCCCACACCGAAGGCCTCTCGTATCTCCCGCCCGCCCAGCCATACCACGGAAACCGCCTTTTTCATTTTGTTAACCCTGGGCTCCGTCCTCCAGAGGTTCTTTCAGGAAGACAGGAGGATTAAGGTTCTCTGTCCCATCCTGCGAGTGGCCCGCTCTGGTCAAAGGTTGGCTTCTAATGAAGGAAAGGTCCACAAGAGGCTTTTTCTAAGGACAGCCCTGGCCCTTCCCTCCCAGCCCCTCGAACTCCATCCTAGCCCACCTTCCTCCATTCCACTTCCCAGGTGACCACTGACTGGGACCTTCAGAAGGGCACCGGCTGCACCGAGGGCCACACAGGGACCTCGGCGGCAGCTCCCCTGGCAGCCGGCATGATCGCCTTAATGCTGCAGGTGCGGCCCTGCCTCACGTGGCGGGACGTCCAGCACATCATCGTCTTCACGGCCGCCCAGGTGAGGCTCCAGCAGGTGCGCAAGGGGCAGTGGGAGGCGCCAGAGCCCCACCGTCCCCACATGAAGAAGAGCGTGGGGACCCCACCGAGACCACAGACCTCTGCTCGCTTGCGCCTGTTCCATGGGTGCCTTGTGCCTGCAGAAGGCAGCACCGGCTGGGCTCCCCGACTCTGGGCACGCGCTCCCGCCTCTCCAGAAGCTAGCCACGGGGGGTGACATCATGGGCTTGGACCTTTTGTCCCAGCTTTCCTTAGGGAATCCATTCCGAGTAGGCCAGAGGGAGCGTCTGGATGGGCTCAGCCCACAGGCCAGCCGGGGAGCCAGGGCTGCTTGTTGAGGTCAAGCTGGCAACACGCGAGACTAAGCAGGGCCCCTGTCCTTTCAGTATGAGGATCGCCGTGCGGATTGGGCCACCAACGAGGCAGGCTTCAGCCATAGCCACCAGCACGGCTTCGGCCTGCTCAACGCCTGGAGACTCGTGAACGCGGCTAAGGTGAAAGGGCAGGGGAAGGGCGGGCCTGACCCCGTGTGGGGTGCTGTGGTTGGGGGCGAAGTGTGCAGACCTAGCCTGGCACACCCTGGCACCTAGTAAACACCTTTCATTTCATTTCTCACCCCTTGACCCTCAACCCTGCTGCTCTCCTTTTGACAAACGGCACTGCAGGCTGGACGCCATACCTGAAGTGCCCAACCGGTGGGTAGGAGTAAATGGGGCAGGAGCATAGGGGGCACTCGGGCTCCCAGGTTGTTCGGCTCTCGGCTTCCACCTGGGCGCAGCTGTTCTCTCTGGCTCCTGGGCTTGGTGCCATATAGGCCTTCCAGATGTCAGCAGAAGCACCAGGAGTGGAGAAAGGTGGCTAGGAGAGGAAAAGAAGATAGCTAGGGGGCCAGCATGTGGCATGGAAGTTAAGGCAGCTGGATCTCACATGACCAACTATGTGGTTCGAGTCCTGGACCCAGCAGTATGAAAATCATGCCGGGGGTGTGCGTGTGTGCCCAAAATCCCAAGAGGAGAATAAGGAGACAGCATTGTGGCATGGCCATGCCCCCGGCGGGTGACTTCTCACTTTCCGGCTCTCTGTGTCTCTCTCTGGCAAGTGTATGTGCCGTAAACAAAAATAGAAGAGTGAGGCCTCCCAGGTCAGGTGAAAGTGTGCCTGCGTGTCTGTGAGTGTGAGTGTGACCTGTCTAGTCTGTTACTCACAAGCCCCTTCCCTTTGACAGGTCTGGACTTCAGTCCCTTACCTAGCTTCCTACGTCAGTCCCGTGTTAAAAGAGAACAAGGCTATTCCTCGGTCCCCCCACCTGCTGGAGGTCCTGTGGAATGGTAAGTAGTCAGTACAGAGGGGGTTAATCTTGGCCTGAGCTTCAGGGCGGGATGATGGGGAAATTAAACTCATCCTCCCTGCTGGCGCTACCCCTGCTTGTAGGAGCTGAGCTCCAGCCAAGCCTGTCGAGTTTTCTTTGACCATTTTAGGACATGTTGCTGCTTCTGAGTTGGCCGACCCAGCTCCATGAACCAGACCTTCCTCTGAGCTTACTCGTAGTGAATAGGCGCTGCTGAGCAGCCACAGAGGAAGGCGGTGGCGGGAGTGGGACGGGACCGGGGAGACCAGGCAGGAGTGGAAGGGGCTCCCCTGGCTCGATGCTAGGACCTTGCCAGATGATTGCTCAGACCCATGGCAGGTCTGAGCAGAGGAAGGAAAGGAGCCGGGCCTTTCTTCGTTGTTCTCAGACTTACCTAATAGAGACTCAGACACAGGGTGGGGACTAGCCGATGGCATAATGGTTACGTCGCTGGACTCCCACATAGTCGACTATGGTTCAAGTCCCAGACCCAGTGACTTAAAACTCATGCCAGGCGAGTGTGCACACATGCCTAATATCCCAAGAGGAGAATGGAGGAGAAGGGATTGCAGTGTGGACATCCCCCTAGGGAGCAATTTCTTGCTTTCTGTCTTTCTGTCTCTGTCTCTCCAGTGAGCGAACACACCCTATAGCAAATATCTCTCTAAAAAAATAAAAATCAGATGCAGTGTGTTGGGGTGGGATGGAGTGGTCTCCCTAGACTTCAGGTGCCCATGCCCTGCACCCCTTCCTCCATGGCACCCAAGGTCCCTAGAGTGGTCTGGAAAGGAGGGTATCTTTGGGGTCGGCAGTGTGGGTTTCTGCTGAGCACAGAGATGGAAGCCCTTCCCAGAGAACGGGGAAGCTGGGCTGGCCCGGTGCGCTGCTGCAGGCCCCAGGTTTGCACCTTCCCCAAAGTATCCCTGCCTCCAGCCCGTTGGGGGACTTCCTCTTCCCCTCGAGGAATTCTGGACAGGCAGGATTACTCACTGTCGTGAAGACAGAAGCGTGTCATGCTTGGTGCCCAACCAGAACCCTGTCCTCACTTTTGCCGTCCTCCGAGGAAGTGGACACCCCCAGAGCCATGGCAGGAGAGGAATGCCAAAGAAGGGAACTGGGAGGGGAGGGTGGGGCGCCTCCCTCGGTGGAGGCTTCACCCGGGAGGGTTGAACCGTCTCTCTCCCTAAGCATGTCCAGCATCTGCCAGGTTCCCCCGTGTGGAAGGAAACCCATGGGCTATTGCATTTTCCGTAAAAGGAACGTTATCTTGGAAAGGGCAGAAAAGCCTCAGCCACGCACAAGTTCGGGAACATTCCCAGGAATGTAGCTCATTCGGAACTCCTGGCTTCATGTTGGCGTGGAGATAGTGTGCCTTTTAACTCGTGCCTCCAGCCAGGGCTGTTTCCCATCACCTGTCGGGGGGCAGCTGACTTAGGGGAGCCCTAGGGCCCTTCTGGCTTTGTCCTCCTGTGCTGACCAGGGGAGGCCCCCTATGTCTGACAGACTTCACCAGGTACCGAGGCACCTGGAAACTGCGTATTTGTCACTAGAAGCAGGAGAAAGAAGGACATGGTCCAGGGCAGGGGAGAGCGGGGAGCTCTAGTGGAAAGAGCAGGGCCACCAGAAGAGAGGAGAGATTGAGGTGGCCCGGCCGGTGGGGCCTTCATCTGTTCGGAAGGCAGCAGGCGAACTGCCATGGATTTCGGAAGCCAGCAAACCTGTCTTCTCCTCTGACATGACAGCATTTCCCCCCAGCAGACAGAAGAGAAGGGATAAGCTAGGAGCTTGCTTGAGGTGGAAAGAAGTATGCCTAGTTTGTAGAGAACTGAGCAACATGGTCCCAGTTGAGAAACCTCCTCCCCCACAGCCAAGCTAGGCTTTTCCCACCAGGGCCTGGGTGACTCGACGTCTGGGGACTGGAATGTCAGCTTTCCGTAGGGTAGAGGGAGCTGAACGCCCCTGAGAGAAACGAGGAGGTGAATTCATGCTAAGACTCTAGAGCAGCATTGTCCTGAAGAACTTTCTGCAATAATGAAATCTGCTAGATCCGGGCCACTCGGCTCAGTGGCCACTAGTCACCACCATTTTCCCTGGAGGGGGCTTTCTCACTTTCCCTGTCTCTCTCCTCTGTCTCTCTCCCAGGAGCACAGTTGCCCTCTGGCAATGTTTAAAAATATATATGGAGGGGCTGGCAGGTGGAGTGGTGGTTAAGGGCGCTGGACATGGCTGACAGTGGTTCAGATCCCAGACCTGGCAGCTTGCTTTCTCACTTTCCCTCTCTCTCTTCTTCTCTGTCTCTCTCCCATGAGCACAATTACCCTCTGGCAACATTTAAAAGATATATATGTATATATATATATAGAATGAGAAAGAAGTGAGAATCATCATGAAACAAATGTATTGGCCAGACATTGGTAATGATTAAAGTTAGGTATTGCAAGCATGTTCTCTCCACTTTGATGTATGTCTGACATCTTCTATATTAAAAACTTATAAACGTGGGAACCAGCAGTTAGCGTAATGGCTGTGTCGCTGGACTCCCATGTAGTCGACCATGGTTCGCGTCCCGGACCCAGTGGCTTAAAACTCACGCTGGGCACATGTACGTGTGTGCCCAAGATCCCGAGGGGAGAACGGAGAAGAAGGGATTGTGGCGTGGCCATCCCCCCTGGGGGGTGATTTCTCGCTTTCTGTCTCTCTGTCTCTCTCTGTCTGTCTGGCGAGCACACGCGCCCTATAGCAAAAACCTCTCCAAAAAAATAAATAAAAATAAATAAATAAATATTCTGTATCAGCAGATGGCATAGCAGTTACATCGCTGCCTCCCACATAGTCATGTGCAGTTCGAGTCACAGACCTGGCAGCTTAGAACTCATGGACACCAGGTGTGGTCTTATTTTTTTAAGAGAGTATGTGTACTTAACAGAGAGACAGCGAGAAATCACCCCTAAAGGGGAATGGCCACACCACAGTCCCTTCTCCTTTGTCCTCCTCTTGGGATTTCAGGCATGCATGCACACGCACCTGGCATCAGTTTCAAGCCTCCGGGTCTGGAACTTGAACCACGGTCGACCACGTGGGAGTCCAGCAACGTAACTTACGCCAACTGCTGGTTCCAATGTACCAACTAATTTAATCCTACCAACTCTATGAAGTAGGTGCCCTTACTAGACTCATTTTACAGATAAGAAAACTAATTCACTTCTCACCACTAATAAATGGCAGAGATGAGATTTGAACCCAGACTGGCTGGCTCCAGAAACCACGCTGTAAGTGTAGAAGGCGAAGGAGAAAAGTCCAGAAAGAATTTGTTTTTGTTTTTCATGTGTAGTAGGAAAGACACTGCCACAAGATGGAGCCAAAATGATGGCTATGGGGCTGACCCAGTGTTTGCCTTCTGCCAGACGGCGCTGTGGAAGGACAAGGGGAGCCGGGAGGTCTGACCAGGTGTAGAGTGTTAGGAGAGCGCTGTGGGGCATAGCCCATTAGGAGAGAGGAGCCTGATGGATTGAGGAAACAGGTCACAGGGAATAGAGGAAGTGAAAGGAAGGAGGCTCTTTTCAGAGAAGGTGAAATGTCCGCTTCATTGGCTTCAAGGAGTTGATGGGGGAATTAAAGAAAATACACAGGGCCCAGCAGGTGGTGTGGTGGTTGGGGCATAGGCCTCTCACATGTCCAACTGTGGTTCGAGTCCTGGACCTGGCAGCTTGCTTTCTCACTTTCCCTGTCTTTCTCTGGTGAGCATGTGTGCCCTGTAGCAAATTAAAAAAAAAAAAAAAATGATGATAAATAAAATTCAATAGATAATTATTTTTTAAAATGATAGAGAATAAAGAAAATATACGTGCACATGTACGTACATGGGGAGGCCTGGGTAGATATCTACCAACATGTTCTCAGGGGTCCTGGGTGCTTCTCATTTCCGTTTTTGCCCATCTGCGTTTCTCATTGAACTTCAACTCACGTTGCTAATTAGAAAACACGCCATCAAAGTGTCCAGACCGTTCGGAAGTGAAGCAGCCCCATTACAAGGTTCAGGGAATGGCCGTGGATGCGGGTACTGACTTGGGAGAGGAAGGTCTTTGGAGTTGAGGAGGTAAAGAAATGTGAAGTGGGACCAGCAGATGGCATAACGGTTACGTCGTTAGACTTGAGTCCCGGATCCGGCGACTTAAAACTCATGCCAGGCATGTGTGTGTGCGTGCCCAAGATTCCGACAGGATAATGGAGGAGAAGGGATTATGGTGCAGCCATCCCCCCAGGAGGTGATTTCTTGCCTTCTGTCTCTCTGTCTCTCCCTGTCTCTCCAGCAAGCACACGGCCCTATAGCAAAAATCTCTCTAAAAAAGAAAAAAAAAAAAAAAAAAAGAAAGGTGAAGTTTGGGCCAGCCCTGTAGTGTAGTGGTTAAGCCTTGTGCTTTGGGAGCCAGATCCCGCATAGTCAACCACAGTTCAAGTCCTGGCCTTGGTACCTTGGAAATATGCAGGGTGCGTGTGTGTGGCCCCCAAGTCCTGACTAGACAGAGAAATGAGGAAGATGATTATGAGTGGCCATGCCCTGATTGCGTGCTTGCTTGCTCTCTTTCTCTGGTGAGCATAGGCACCCACTGACAATTTATTTTTTTAATTTTTAAAAAAAGAAATGCGAGACCCAACAGGTGGCATGGTAGTTAAGGACGCTGGACTCCCACTTGGCTGATTGTGGTTCGAGTCCCAGACCTGGTGGCTTGCTTTCTCACTTTCTCTCTCTCACTCTATCCCTCTCTGGTCAAATTAAAAATAAAATAAAATGAATAAATAAAGTTCTATAAAATAATTCTTAAAAAAGAAATGTCGGGCCAGCAGATGACATAGGGTTAAGGCAGCTGGATCCCAATGTGGCTTACTGTGTAGTTCAAGTCCTAGACTGGGAGGCTTGAAAAACACACAGGGCACATGAGCATGTGTGCCCAAAGTTCTAAGAAGAGAATAGAGAAGGGATTGTCGTGGGGCCACCTCCACTGGGGGAGGGTGAGGGGAGCAGTGATTTCTCACTTTCCTTTTCTCTCTCTTTCTCCGCCTAGCACACATGCCTTATAGCAAACTGTAAAACAGCCACAAAATAAAGAAATGTGAAGTGTTGGCATTAGCTAGATCAGTCTTCATGAACACTGGGGGCATAGTGGGGAGTGGGAGGTGGCGCTCTTCGGTGAGGGCAGTGAGAGGATCAGTAGGGACAGAGACCAGAAGGGCAGGGAGCCTGAATCACCTTTCCCTCCCCCTTGTTGGCCTCACTTATGTCTGGGCACACTGCCTCACTCCTAGGATGAGCTGGTCTCCTGTCACCTGTTCCTCCTCTCCAGTTCTTCCGGCTCACAGCTGTTTGAGTAATCTTCCCTCTGGGCTCTCTACAAAACTCCGTCATTGCTCAGTAATCCTTAACAACTCTCAGGTGCTTATTTAAAATAAAAAGTGTTGGGACCAGCAGTTGGTGTGATGGCTATGTCGCTGGACTCCCATGTAGTTGACTGCGATTCAAGTCCCGGACCCGGTGGCTTGAGCTCATGCTGGACACATGTGTGTGCGTGCCCAAGATCCCGAGAGGAGAAGGGATTGCAGCATGGCCATCCCTCCTGGAGGTGATTTCTCACTTTCTGTCTCTCTGTCTCTCTCTGTCTTTCTGGGGAGCACACATGCCCTGTGGTAAAAGCCTCTCCAAAAACAAAAAGAATGATTTACTTTGGGGGCTGGTAGGTGGCATAGTGGTTAAGGGTACTGGACTCCCACATGGCCAACCATGGTTCAAGTCCCAGACCTGGCAACTTGCTTTCTCACCTTCCCTCTTTCTGTCCCTCTCTGGTCAAATATAAATAAATAAATAAATAAATAAATAAATAAAGTTAAATAAAATAATATTTTTTTTAAAAGATTTATTTGGGACTAGCAGATGGTATAATGTCTTCTTGACTGGGCTTCCACATAGCCGACCATGGTTCGAGTCCCAGATCTAGCAGCTTAAAATTCACACTGGGCCCTCACACATGGGCATGCATGCCAAAAATCCCAAGAGGAAAATGGAGGAGAAGGGATTGTGGCATGGCCATCCCCCCTGGGGGGTGATTTCTCGCTTTCTCTCTCACTGTCTCTCTAGCAAGTACACACACCCTATAACAAAACTCTCTCTCCAAAAAAAAAAAATTATTATTTTTTAAATGTACTATAGGTGTCATGTGCACTCACCAGAGACAGGGGGGTGGGGAGTGACAAAGCAAACCGCCAGGTCCGGGACTCAGACCGTGATTGGCCACGTGGGAGTCCAGTGCTGTCTGCACCACACCACCTAGTAGTCCCCCATTTCCACTCTGTCTTCATACACGCCATTTCTCCCTTCTAGAACCCCCTACCAACCTGTGTTCACTGCCTCTTCACTGCTCTGTGCCGACACCCTCCCGCCATCTCGGTTCCCCGATGGGTTATGTGTACCTCGCACCCGCTCATTTCCCACTTGCAGTAGAAGGTGGGGACCGTGCCCTCCCGTGTCTGTGTCCCCGGCATCTGATAGCGCGCCTGAACCTACGAGGCACTCGGGAGACCGTTTCCTGGTGAACGAATGACTGACGTGACGGCGTCGGGCACACGCCTCGTGTCTTAGATATGTATCGTCTCCAATCCCGGACAAGGTTGGAACCTTGAAGGTGGCTGGAAGCCGTGTCCCGCTTACACCAGGTCCAGTTAGAGCCCTGTGGACGTGTATGTGTGAGCGTGTGCGACGAGGTGAGGGTGTCTGCGGGCCGGCTTCCCAGCTGCCCGGCCTGACTTCCCACAGTCAGCAGGACGGACCTGGAGATGTCGGGGCTGAAGACCCTGGAGCACGTGGCCGTGACAGTGTCCATCACCCACCCACGACGCGGCAGCCTGGAGCTGAGACTGTTCTGCCCCAGTGGCATGATGTCCCTGATCGGCGCCCCCCGCAGCATGGACTCGTACGTACATCCGCCCAGGGCCTTCTCAAGGAAAGCGGTGGGAGAAGTGGACACTGGCGCTGGCCTAAGCCCTCGCGATGCTGGCTGTCTTTGGCCTCCGGAAGCCGTTCGTCACAGGCTTTCTGTGCTGGCAGTGTGCGGGCACTGTTCACGGCATAGGTTTTCTCTAATCCTCGTGCTGACCCCGTCAAGGAGCCTTTGTGACCTCCTCGTACAGTAAGGAGACCAGTCACAGAGCTAGGAAGTGCTGAGGGTCAGAATGAACCCAGACCTGTGGGGCCTCCACTCCTGGGCTCTCTCCATGTTGGTTTTCCCACTACATCATAGTGACACAAGATCCCAGGGGCAAGGGGCAGCACGGGAGGACCCCTCATGGCACCCCCCCAAATGGCGGTGGCTCGTTTCCATGGCTGTCGCAGTAGGGGACCATCTCTGGGAGCAGAGGTCAGCTCCTGCACCATGCCCTCTGTGTTCTCCGCTTTGTTCTTTCCCAGGGACCCTAACGGCTTCAACGACTGGACCTTCTCCACTGTGCGGTGCTGGGGGGAGAGAGCCAGAGGAATCTACAGACTCGTCATCAGGGACGTGGGTAAGCCCCCTGCCCTCCCACCAGCACCCCACCTGTCCTGGTTGTCATCTGGTCCCTCTGTCTCGGAATCCCAACAGAAAGGGCCCCGTGTGGAATACCTCGAGTTGCCTGGACCAAGAGCATAGATACAAGGACTCAGCCCCATCCCAAACCGCGGGCACAGTCGGCGCCGACTGTTCGTTTTTTCTGCCTCTCCTGTTCCCTGGAGACGTGGCGGCCCGTTTTCCTCGGGAGAGCCACAAGGAATGGCTGAAGCCACATTTCAGGTCCTTTCGCATACAACCGTCCTTTGGCCAGCCCTGGTAGGCGGGTAAGGGCAGGACTGATTTTCACCATTTTTTTTAAAGCTGAGGTCTAGAGGTTTGCAGTGACTTGTGGAAGGTCACAGTATCAGTGAAGGTCACGTGATCATTGATACTATCTTCAATATTAGTGAGGAGGCCAGAGATGGGGCCCACCCCTCCCACTATCCAGTCAGCTAGGTATTCACTATTCCGGCGGCTTCCAAACCTTTCTCTTCTTTTTTTTTTTTTTTCTATAGGGTGTGTGTGTGATTGCCAGAAAGAGAAAGAGGGACAGTAAGAAAGCACCCCAGGGAGGCGGCCATGCTGTAACCCCTTCTCTGTTCTCCTCTAGGGATTTGGGGCATACACTCACAAGTGGCTGGCTTGATTTTCTTTCTTTCTTTCTTTCTTTCTTTCTTTCTTTCTTTCTTTCTTTCTTTCTTTCTTTCTTTCTTTTTTTTTAATAGTTATTTACTGGGGCTGGCAGGTGGCATGGTGGATAAGTGTGCTGGACTCCCACATGGCCAACCACGGTTTAAGTCTTAGACCTGGTGGCTTGCTTTCTCACTTTCCCTCTCTCACTCTCTCTGTGTCTTTCTGGTCAAATTAAAAAAAAAAAAAAGAAACAAAATGAATGAATAAATAAAATTAAATAAATAATTGTTTTTAAAAATATTTATTTTATTTTATCATCTTTTTTTTTTTTTTACTTTTCTAAAGAGA